CAGTGAGAGACCTATCCCCAACCCGAAGGCGCAGGGAAGCGACCCTCTCGTTCACCAGGGTAAACTCCAACACAGGGCGGCTAAGCTGGGGAGCTATGAGCAAGCCCACACCAGCCCATCGCCTCTCACCGCGGGCAACTCCAGAGTAGTAGAGAGTCTAGCCTCTCTCGAGGAGTAAAGTTCCAGAGCCCAAGCTGTGCGTGGAGGTGAGCCCGACTATATCTAGCCGGTACCTCTCAACCTCCTGCACAAGCTCGGGCTCCTTCCCCACCAGCGAGGTGACATTCCATGTCCCCAGGGCTAGTCTCCGTGTCCAGAGATCGGGTCGTCGGGGCCCCTGCCTTTGACTGCTGCCCAATCCACTGTGCACCAGCCCCTTACGGATCCTCCTGCAGGCGGTGGGCCCACGGGAGGACAATACAATCATTTCACATTTTATTCTTACACATTCACTAATGATTATTTCAAACAAAACACACATATAAATCATCTAATGATTATCTTTACTTATTAAAAGGTTAACTTTCTAAGCATTCTGTCATTGCATTTTAATAATAATTTCTCTCTCTCCTCCAGTCTCTTCTGCCATTTTCTCTGCCTCCTCTGTTTCCTCTGTTTCTTGGTTCTCCCTGGGACCCGTATTTACAGTTTCGCTGACACTGCTATGGTTAGAACTACAGTCAATGCCACTGAGCTACTGGAAAAATAATAATACTTGGAAATACTTTTACTAGCCAAAGCACTGATAAGATTTTGTGTTACACTTCAGGAGGAAGAAATTCAGCATTATTTGAGTTGTATGGGGCTGCAGTGAATAGAGAAAATTTTGAAAATATTAATAATTTAACTTTGGTGATGTCAAGTGTGTTGATCCCTAGCTGTATCCAAAGACTTGTCAGGCATTTTGAGTAACAGCAGTGTCTAATCAGTGTCATCAAGACACACACACACACACGCACACACATACACACACAAAACAAACAAGACTTATCTGCACACTCCTGTCTCATTACCAGTTCTTATTTTATTCTACATTGACATGAAGAAATGTTGAAACCACAATTGGTCTTCCACAGGTAACTGTGAAAGGGAATGCATCTCTATAGGCTATGTCATACATAATTGGGTAAATGTTAACATACATGGAGGAAATATGATCAGTCATTCAGTTATCAGTGGATCACATTATCCGTGATCAACTGATCAGCTGTTACTTTGCATCAAAAGATGCAAATTAACAACTGTCATTATGGATTAATCTGTTGATTATTTTCTTGATTAATCATTTATATATATCATTTATAAAAAAAATAT